CTAAATGACTTTCTTTGTAGAAGAAAAGTAGGTAGTTGAACAAGGAAGGCTGCTGTGGACAGCTCATTGGAGGAGATATCCTGTTAGGTCCCTCCCTTACTTGCATTGCCCAAGAACAATAGCCAAACGAGGCTGGACGCCCTGTGAAGCACTCTCCCTGCGTGTGTCTTGTAACCGTTACGGTAACCTGGCAGGGGAGAAACTGATATGGGAGATGTAGCAGCCGGCCCAGGGCCATTCAGTTGGTAGTTGTCTCTGATTCTAGAACCTTTTAGCTCACCGCTTCTCCAGTGAAGGTCACAGACTTTTGACCTTGAACCCTGGGAGGTGGAAAGCCATTGTGAGGGAGGCTGACTCTCACTGGCCAAAACCTGGGGGTCGGGCAGGCTGGCTTGTGCACACCTTTGCTCAGGTTCCTGAGGTGGCAAAACAAAAGGTCTCATTTAAAACAGACTCACCAAGAAATTCATGCTAGAGTCAAGTGAACAGTGTGGGGTATTTTATGTAACCTTGTGCAATATGTTGAATAGTTTCTCAGCAAGCCAAAAATACAAACATGAAACAGAAACCTTAGCCCAATACTGTGGCAGGTGAGGCCAGGTGCCTGTAACTCACATTGTGGGAGGTTGCAAAGTGACTGAAGAGCACAAGCTTGCGAACTGGGCAGGCCTGGCTCAGCAGCTCCCTGACTGAGGCCTCAGGCCTCAGTGGCTGAACATTCGTGCAACAAATATCTATTGAGCATCGATGGGGTGTCAGGGCTGGGGACACAGCAGTGCATAAAAACAGAAATTCTTGCCCTTGTAGAGCTTACGTCCTGGTACAAGGGCCCTGAGGTGGGCATGTGCTGGGGGTCCCTGTGGCTGGTCCAGGATGAACAGGAGAGGAACGGGAGGTGAGATAAGAGGCCAGACTTGGGGTGGGTGCAGGTCGTGGAGAGCCTGGGGGCTGTGGTGAGCCAGGGGTTGTATTCAGGTGGGAGAGCGAGCCCTGGAGGGTTCTGAGCAGGCAGCGACACGGTCTGACGGGGGGGCCTTGCTGGCTGCCGGGTGGAGAGTAGACTGAAGGGAGCCCGGCGTGGCATTGGTGGGTGTTGAGAAAGTGGATTCTGGCTGTGTTTTAAATGTAGAAACGAGAGGATTTCCTGCAGGATCGTGTGTGGGAACGAGACAGAGGAACAAGGCTTGAGCAACCAGGAGGGGCACTGCCACTTCAGGAAACGGAGGGCAGGATGGGCATGTTTGGGGACAGGCGTGTTCAGTGAGGATGACGTGTTGGGGGCATCTAAGCAGGGATGTGGAGCAGGTGATTGGACCTTCAGGGAGCAATTCAGGCTGAGGGGACAAATTTGGGAGTCAGCAGCAGATGGTTTTTAAAGCCTCAAGTCTGAGGTCCCTTGTCTTGCTGGAACACTCCGGCCCAGCCACCCCATGGCCGGGCCCTCCTCATTCAGGCTCTGCTCAGAGGCAGCCCCTCAGCCAGCGCTGGCCCGACCTCCCAGCCCTTGTTCTTCTGTCCTTGCCTGTCCGCTTCACGGCGTTCACTGCCTGCGAGCGTCTCCTCACCTAGAATGGTAAGCCCACGAGGGCAGTGTCCAGGCCCAAGGCCACCTAGCACAGAGTAGGCCTTTGAGCACCAGTTGTGAGCAAAGCACCGTAGCAGATGACAAGCATAAACCCCAGGCATCAAGGAGCTCGCGTTAGAGACCTGAGTTGCAGAATTAAATGGCAAAGTGGAAGGGAAACGTGTCACGTGAAGACACATTGTGGGCTCAGAGGTGACCCATTGGGTGCCATGTTGTCTCAGGGAGGAGCAGGTCCTGGCTCAAGAGTTCCAGAAACCAGGAATTGTGGGCCGGGCAGGTGCAAAGCCAGGCCTCACCTGGAGTGGGGATACATGGCAGAGTGCACACCCTATGCTGAGCCGTGGTGTCATCTTCACACACCTCACTCTCAGGTCTGCTGTGGGTCCCACAGATGCCCTGCAGGGGAGTTTCTAGCACGAAGGGGCGTGGCTGGCAGAGGCCCTCCCTGGGAGCTTTTCTCACTTTTCACTCTCTTGAGGCTCTGCCAGCTCGTGAATCTGTGTCCTTCCCCACCCCGCCTCTGCTGTGACCCTCCCCACCTGCCATCGCTAAGGCACACCTTGGGAGGCTCTCCCGAGCCCACAGTGTAAAGGTGTCCCTTTCCACTCTGTTGAGTCACCCTGCCCTTTGCCGTCACAGGGGTGTCAAAACATGTAGATGTTTGTTAGTGAGGTCCCCTGGCAACATTGCCTTCCCCAGGTGCCCCCCTGGGCCAGGTGCACTGCTCTACCTCCAGGGCCCCAGCCCAGCCTGGGGCAGAGCGCACACCTAGTAGACTACTGGGTGGGTGACACCCAGATGTGTGGTGGGTGGGGTGGTGCCCAGTAGGTGACCCTGCAGATGTGTGGATGGACGTGCCTGACCAGCACCTTTTCTCTCTCCCCAGGTGGCTTCTGGCACAGCAGCTTAATTGACCGGAACCTCATCGATTATTTTGTCCCCTTCCTCCCGCTGGAATACAAGCACCTGAAGATGTGCATCCGCGTTGAAATGCAGTCCCGCGGCTATGAAATTGACGAGGACATTGTAAGCAGAGTGGCTGAGGAGATGACATTTTTCCCCAAAGAGGAGAGAGTTTTCTCTGATAAAGGCTGCAAAACTGTGTTCACCAAGTTAGATTATTATTACGATGACTGACAGGAGTCACTGCTTCGAGTTGAAGAGACAACACTCAGTCCTTCCCGACGGCTCCCCGGCTCCTGTCCCTGGGAGAGGAATAAGAGGGGTGTGCCCTGCATTACGTGGCAGAGCTACTCCTGGCCGTTGTTTTCACCTGGAGCCCACAGGCCATCCCACCTTGGGACCACGGGCAGGACACGAAGCCTCCAGAGCCTCCAGAGCTGGACAGAGCTGGATCCCGGCAGACCCATTCCAGGGCTTGTGATTTTTAAAAAATTATGTTTTAATTTCAGGTGTTTCTGTTTCAAGGAGGGACAAGTAAGTTTTATTGAAAATGTGATACCTTTATTTAAAATGGTTTTTAACATGAGAAACTTCTCAGATTCTAAGTAATTGGCTTTGGGTGTTTTTTGTGTTCCTGTCATTATAACACACACTGTGATACCTTTACTGCAAAAAAAGCCCAAGCACGAGTCGCCGGCGTGGATTCTGTAGGACAGCATTCCTGGGGACAAGGCTGGAGCACTGGCCATACCTGCCACAGGGTGACCAGGGGCAGCACGGTGTTTGGACAAAGGGACAAGAGGACATGTTCAGCACCACAGATGAACCTGCAATGTCCTTTCCAAGGGACTGGTCTCGGCAATGCTGTGAGTGTTTGTTAGAACCAGAGTCTTGGCAGAAAAGTATTTCCAGCTTGTCACTTGCCAGTGCTCAGCTTTGCAAGAGCAGGCCCGTCTCCACTTTCCCTTCCCAGGTGAGCCATGAACTGTGTACTCCTCTGCTGGATTCAAATCATCACGAGGTGATTTTGCTGTATTAAAACATTTTTCTTCATTTATCACTGGTTTTTGTTACGTTGAATCAGGACCCCCTCCCAAACCTAGGAAAGCTTAGCTGACCCTTCTGAGAACAGTGTTTTCATTTACAAATGCAAACAGATACCATTTTGCAATAAAATTTTGTGTGCGAAACTTGTGAATGCACTTTTTAAGGGGGAGAGATCCCCCCACGCACGCCCTGTGAGCTCAAGCTGTGATGAGGCCCGAGCAGGTGTTCAGGTCGGAATGAAACAAAGTCTCTTGCAGGACTCTGAGGACCCTAGCATAGCTCTGGCCCCTCGCCCAGCTGCACGGGAATGGCACTCTTGTTACCAGGGCTCATGGGGATGCCTGCTGTGGCGTTCAAGTCCAGCTGAGATGCCAGGAGCATGGAGCTGTAGGAGACTAAACCTACCTTGTTTTATGCAACATGCGTGTGTGCCTACAAACAGAGCTCTGTGGCGTGGCTGCTGTGCAGAGTGCTGGCAGGGACAACTTTGCAAGCACAGACTAGTGGGCAGCCCAGCTGCAGGTCTAACGCAGGACCCCTCAGCCTCTCGGCTCCCCAGCCTGGACAGGGTTCTGCTAGGGCAGCCCAGGTCCAAGTCTTAGAAAGCTCTTGGTGTTGAGCTAAAGCTGGCCTGCTGTGTCCCCAGGGGGCAGATTAGGTTTAATCAATCACTCATTTGAAAATTGCAGCCTCAGCACCTGGGAACCCCTAATTAGGGAACACAGGGTTCCCCTGACAATTTTGTTAAGTTCAGTCTTCAGAGATGAGGCAGTATGGGGTGGAGTAGAAGCTGCATTAGGCTGAGAGCCAGAGCTAGAAGGTGGCCTCATGGGGCTCAAGAACCTTCAGATGAGAAATCAGGGGTGTTGGTGAGAAGGGTTTGAACTTCCTGTTTAAGATAAATCAGCTAATCCTCAGTCCTGCGAAGAAAGTTGGTGTTAGCAATTCACTGCCGAGACAGGAGATCAGGTTAGGGGTGATTGAGCTGAAACTGGATTAACATGACTAGGACTCCACTATTTACCATAATTTGGGGCGAGAAGACGAGGCAGTTAGGTTTCCTTATCTGAGATCAGTTCAGCAAGTCTGAGTGTCTATGGTTGAACATGCCTGACGTCTTCTGATCTCAGAAGCTAAGCATCGTCAGGCCTAATTAGAACTTGGATGGGAGAGTGTCAGGTGAGTTGTTTTCCCAGTGCCTCAATTTCCTTCCTACATTAATTTTAGAGTATATTTTTTAGAAAGAAATCCATCACTTTCATGAAAATATCTATCACCTAATCCAATTAAACTTCCTATTTGGGGATAACGGCCTTTAAGGTAAATACTGCTTCTGTACGATGCAAAGGCTACCAACCTGCACGTCCAGGGTACGGTAAGTCTGACACCACCTGAGGTGTTGAAGTCTTTATTCCAAACTGTTACCAAATAAACTAGGGGAGGAAAGTTAGCAAGGGACATCACATATCATAAAATTTAGCCTTTATTATAAGATTCTATATCCAGGTCAATTCAAACTCTTGTCCATATTTTATGAGGGGTGGGGGAGGCTGGGCTGTGTGTGGCCTTTTCAAGCTATAGTTAGTAACAGCAGTCCAAAGGTGGCCAACATGTGTTGAGTTTATTACACCACTATAAACAGAAATCTTGTCTCTGCTTGACCAGATACCCAAAAAGTTATAAAAGAAATGTAACTTAGCTCCAATTTGAGAATATGTACTAAAAATTTTAAGCCTTACCTTGGCATTTTTCAAAGACTGTGATACCCTATAAGGCAGTTCCATGTCAAAAATTCGCTCTTACCACACTTCATACGTGAAAATGCTGTGCTGTTCTAAGGGCATGTCTGCAGCTGCATTGGAACCACAGGAGGGACACAGAATGAGTCACACTGGGTGGAACCTGAGTGTTACCTCCCAGTGATCAGGGCAGTTCCAGCCTGGTGCTGCCACATAAGGTGTCCTTATCAGATGACCCTGTTTGATCTATGGCTGGGACGGTACACTGCCACACATTCAACAACATTCATGCCATTTAAGAATACCTGAGAAAGGAATAAGCAGTTATTTCATTTTAAGTCCTACCCATGTTTTATTATAAAATAAGCAATTTCCTATATTTCTATTATCTGTGGTTCAGAAGACATTATAAAAAACATACATATCCTTGCAAACTCTAGCATTTCCAGCGTACAGTACTCCTACTTCTTTGGCAATACAGAATCTGCAGCTGACCGCTCAGTGTGGGCACGTGCCAGTCATGGAGAATGAGCACATTGTACAGATTTCCCACGGTTCTGTGGAGTCCAGTGAGAGACTGACCCACATATAAAGTGTAACATACAAATGCTCACCATGGGAACCAAGGACTCAAACTCAAAGCCAGCGGTCTCACCGATTCCCTCTATGATATGGCTGGGGAAATCCAGCAGCGAGTGAAGTTCAGGACAAGGTGTGGTCCAAGGCAGGCTGGGGCTGACGCTGTAAGATGGATGGGCGAGGAATCCCACGACCAGGGCTGGAATCAGCAGCCAGAGAATGGACAGGAGGAAGGGACCTGTCTGTCCCGTCTGCTGCAAAGGCCTCAGGTTGAACCCCCAGCCCACATGGGGACAGTTCAGCACAGACGCTGCACACACACTGTGACGTCTGTGATCGTCCAGTGGGCCCTGCTGTCCTCGTCCAGAGGCTGCCAGCCCCACAAAAGGCTCTGAGCAGGGGCGCTGCCCGTAGCCCTGGAAGAGGCCCAGGAGGGGGTCAGATAGTGTGGTTCTTTGCACAATTAGGGCTGAGTAAGTCTGCCCAGTGCCCACTGGGCCCTGATCCTGAAGTTCTTTACCCTCAGAAGAAAGGGCCTGTTCGTGTTTCCTGGGAAGCCTTGGGGCGCTCATCTTGCGCTCGCCTCTGCGCTCCCTTCGCTGGATAGCATAGACTGGAGAAATGTAGAATTTCCCCCTCAGTCTGAAGAAGCCTTTACCAAAACATTCTGTCAAAAACAAAGCAGCCAAAAAAAAAAAAAAAAATTAAAAAAAAACAAAGCAGCCGATTTTGCTTTCCAAGGTCAGGTGGTTTGGGAGATTTCGGGGCCGTGGTTCAGAATTTCCAGGGAGCATGTCTGTGTTCAGATGTCTCCCCCAGCTCCACCCCTCAACATGTGATTCAGTAAGGAGCAGGAGTGGGACTGGGTAAATTCAGCAGATGGCATGCCACCTTGGGCTGTCTATGCAATCACCTTACCTGTCCCTTTAACAGGCAAAAAGTTGACTCCTTGATAACGAATTGGCATGGATTTGACAATTTCATAACTTTTACCTCAGTTATGAAATGTAAAGTTTGTTCACAGCTAAACAAACTTTACCTTTCAAAACTAATTCAATCGAGGAAGAATTTGTGCCTAGCGTGTTGGGGGAAAGACTAGTGTGGGTGTGAGTTAAAACTGGCCAAATGCTAAAAGCTTTGAGGCAATCTTAAAACCACTGATGTTAAAAATGGCAATTTGAATAAGAATGCTATCTGATCAAAAAAAAGAGTGCGGACCACCCGCACCAATTCCAACTGAAAATGCTTCAAGTCAGGGAAGGTTCCCTGTGTAAAGAAAACCAACAGCCGAAGAGTGTCTTCTACAGGAGAAGACCCAACACTCCTCAGAGGCCACCCTACCAGGAGCTGCTGAGGTGTTGGTCCCGTGGGTCACAAAGGATCCATGGGCCTGCCTCGCACAGCTGTCGTCAGGCACTTTTGTTGGGTAACGATCAGTGTGAAGGGGATTTTAAAAGTTCATCTTCAAATTCGAAGAATAGTTGGACTTCTTTCATGTTGCAAAAGGACAAGTGGATGGGACAGATTAGCACATTTTCATATTTCAACTCTTAGAAGTTTCTCTATCCTGAAAGTCCGCAGGTGCAAATGTGCAAAACCCTGAAGAGGTCTTCAAAGTGCTTCTGGAAGGCAGGGCCCTGCTGTGCTCAGCCTCCCCGTTGCCTCTTAACCCATCTGGGTAAGAGCTCAGTGGAAATCGAGCCGCGACTGCACGGTCTTGCAGCCCTTGTCTGAGTAGATTTTCTCGTCTTTGGGGAAAAATGTCATTTCCTCTGCCACTTTTGTGACAATGTCTTCATCTATGGCAGAACCTCGGGCCCTCATCTCGGCCCGCACACACATTTTCACGTGTCTGTACTCCAGGGGCAGGAAGGGGATAAAGTAATCGATGAGGTTCCTATCAATCAGTCCACTGCGCCACAGGCCACCTGCGAAACAAGACACAGCTACGTTTCCTGCCCATCACTGCCAGTTGGCCACGCTCTCACGGGGCCGCTCTGATCTTGATCCACAGTACATTCTTCATGTCCTTAGCCCTTCAAATTCTTTTTTTCTTTTTTTTTTATTGAGACAGAGTCTTGCTCTGTCACCCAGGGTAGAGTGCCATGGCATCAGCCTAGCTCACAGCAACCTACTGGGCTTAAGGAATCCTCCTGCCTCAACCTCTCAAGTAGCTGGGATTACAGGTGCATGCCACCACATCCAGCTAATTTTTCTATTTTTAATAGAGATGGGGTCTTGATCTTGCTTAGGCTGGTCTCAAACTCCTGGTCTCAAGCAATCCTCCCACCTTGGCATCCCAAAGTGCTAGGATTACAGGTGTGAGCCACCTCACCTGGCCCAGAGATTCTTTTTGTCAGTGTGCAAAAAGCTGACATAAGACTTGGCTAAACACCCTGCTAACTGGCTTCTAGAATAAAATTGCCCTAAGAAAATTCCCTACTTTATTTTAGCAAAGCCACTGAGGCAAGTGGGATTCTCTGGCTTTGGGAAACACTCGATGAGCGAGGAGACAGCTCTCTGCTGGCTGAGTTAGGCGGCTCTTAACTCTTGTGGACTCACTGTGTTTATTATTGAAGACTCCGACAGACAGCACAGGTTCCAGGTCCTTCAGCTGAATGTCTTCCCTCTTTCTTCCTGCCAGCCAAAAGTCAAGCGCCGTCTTAGTTATGAGGTCCCCACCTGCATTGCTGAATTTGCGAGAGAAACAAAAATTAAAATCACATATTAAGACTTCTGTATCTTACCAGGAAATGAACCTGCTCTAAGGTTTATTCTTTTTGTTTTTTTTTTTTTTGAGACAGAGTCTCACTTTGTTGCCCAGGCTAGAGTGAGTGCCATGGCGTCAGCCTAGCTCACAGCAACCTGAAACTCCTGGGCTGAAGCAATCCTCCTGCCTCAGTCTCCCAAATAGCTGGGCCTACAAGCGTGTACGACCATGCCTGGCTAATGTTTTCTATATATATATTAGTTGGCCAATTTATTTCTTTCTATTTATAGTAGAGACGGGGTCTCTCTCTTGCTCAGGCTGGTTTCGAACTCCTGACCTCGAGCAATCCGCCCGCCTTGGCCTCCCAGAGTGCTAGGATTATAGGCGTGAGCTACCGCACCCGGCCCCGGCCAATTCTTAAGTAATATTTACTATGTACTAATATACAAAAAAAAAAAGTGTCTGCCCCGAAGGAATTTAAAATCTGTTTCTTCCAAACTTGCTGGGGTAAAGCTCTGGCTTTTTATAACCCTCAGAAACCCAGGCTCAGTGAATAAAATTGCTTTTTATCAGCAATTATTTCTTTAGCTCATTTCTTTTGCCCATATTCCATGCCACGCTGAAACTGGCAACCAAAAAATAAAGAAGTGGGCAAGTGACTTTTGCCAAGCTGGCACTTTTGTCCTGGTAAACAAGGTGCTTGCCAAAACTTCATACTAGCATTGGGAGAATGAGGGCTTATGTGTCCCCAAGAAACCGTCGCCTGCTCACCTGAGAAAGATAAAGATGGCTTTGCGGTAAGACACTCCATCCACTTGCTCATAGTAGTCTAGAAATGGCTTGATTGCATCAATGATCCCAGGGTGCAATTTATCCATCTCGTCAAAGATGAAAACAGACCTCGCACACGCACTCACATTACCACGAATCCACTTCTGCAACTGGTCCTAAACTCACCGTAAAAGAAATAGGATGTACAGGCTCAAAGGATGCTCTAAGAGGAGAAGCACTACACTGCTGCTTGTGCACTAAAGGCAAGATCAGAGATCTCAAGGGTTTAATGAAGAATTTTTACAAACTGTACCCTACCTCCTTTCATTAGCTTTTCCAAAACCTTATCTATAAAAAGTAGAAATTGGCAGAGAGATGGGTGCTAAAATGCAGAGAAGTTTTTTTTAACTCAAATGACATGCTAAATGTGACTTTTTAAAGGTATAAAAGGTCCAAGATCCACGATCATTCACTGTTTACCAACCCATAGTTTTTATCTCACTGTGGACTTCAATCTCAAATATTACCAGACATACTGAGGAATAAGGAACTAGACTAAGACCCGCACAGTGCCCAAGACCAACGCTTTGTACTGGTGCAATGAACAAAGGAACTGACATAGATGGCATTTCATGAAAAGCATTTGTTCCAATGCTTTCTTGAAACAAACACAAAAACACACAACAAGCCCTTAAACCTAAAATGTGAAAGGCCATGACCATGAACCTCCCCTAGACTCCCCCTCATCTACCTTATTGTATTCCTAGAGATTTATGAAAGAATGTGGAAAACAAGAAAATTACTCCTTCCTTTTGGTAATCTGCCCTGCTTAGACAGTTTGTATGACAAACACCCGCTTCCACTTCCTTGCTCAGTTAAGTTTCTGTTTCTTTTTTCAGTCCCCACTTAACAGTAGGACTATTAACCTCAACAAGGATGACATTCACTTAAATGAGAATTAACCTTCCTAGACAACTTTATAGAAATTAAATGTGGAAAGAATATTTCAAAAAGAGAAAAGTCTGAAGGTTTAAGTTCTCTGAGTCTTTCTTGGAAGAAAGTAGTGCCAAGGACTTGAAAGAAAGATAGGATAAACAAAGGGAATAAAACTGTTCAGGAGAAAAAAAAAATCCTCCGATCTATATTGCAAAATGCAGAGGCGACACTCTGTACCATAGGTGGGGAGCATTAAATGAAGCCGCACCCAAACACATCCCTGAGACTGCCCCACCTCACACAAGCTGGCTGGGAATGCTGAGTGCTTTCATTCACTGGAGAAGGTGGCTACCATGCAGCTGGGAGATTTGGGTTCAAGTTCTTGCTCTGCCACAAAGTCACAAAGATTATAAGGAGTAAATCACCTTGCCTCTCTTGGCTCCATTTTTTAATAGAAATAATATCCTCTATCCCACTGGATTATTTTGGAACCGAGTAAGAAAAAAGTTGTAGGAGAGCTTCGTAAGCACCCTGGACTAAGTGTGCCTTAACTCCAGGAGCCTGGGGCAATTGCAATGCAAAGGAAAGAGAAGCAGAAGCCAGAGTTAGTGAGCAGGTCGCCCAGGCCAGTCGGAGCAGCCCCGTGGACTAGGTAATAGTGGGTTCTTGCCTGGTACAGTTTTATCTTCTGCTCATGAGGGAAGTGCAGAGTCGATACAAACAGGTGGACAAAGTTACTCTTCAGGCCCTTTGGGTGAAGATTTTCAGCCACAATTTGGCTGACAAAATTCTTGCCTGTGCCAGCCCAGCCGTGTAAGGAAAGGGTCAGTGGTTTCTTGGGATTTTTGTTGCTCCTGAAGCCAGTCAGTGCCTTGACAATCACTTCTGTGGCCACATGCTGTCCAAACAGTTTCTCCTCCAAATCCAGCTTCAGGGCTGCAGGAGCCAGCCCCAGAACAGAGAAAGAAACACACATTAAAAATGCACTGGAGGGGGGGGGGGCATGGGCAATATACATAACCTTAACATTGTACCCCCATAATACGCTGAAATAAAAAATAATAATAATAAAAATGCACCGGAAAAGCAGCACTTTCCCAACTGGCCAAAGTGAGAGGCACAGATTAGCGACAGATGCAGCCAGACCCCAGGGCTGACACTGAGGCAGAGTCGGTGACTTGGGCAGAGCCCCACGGCCCGGAGACTTTCCCAAGACTGCTGCCTGGGCTGGAGTCCGGGCAGAGTTCCCACGAACGACTCCCAGCCCGCCCCGTCCGTTCTCCCGCCCACCCGATCCGGATGACCGCCGGCAGGATGCCGCGCGCTAGCGCCGGGCCTGGAGCGCAGAGACCCCCGCGCCCCGGGCCGGACCTTGAGCCCGCGCCCCCGCCATACCCGAGGCGTTGAACGGCTGCTCCTCGCGGCAGCACTCGGAGAAGCGGCAGTAGATGTCCTTGTAGGACAGGTAGCCGGTGAGGAGCGACGCGGCCCCGATGGCGATGCCCACGCTGATGGGCTCTAACGCCGACACCACTCGGGCAGTCAGCAGCAGCTGCAGCACCGCCGCGCCCCAGAGCCGCTCCGTCCGCCTCATCCCCTCGCCTCAGAACCCGCCGCGGCCGCTGCGCTGCGCGCCCGGGCGGCCGAGCGGCCGGCCGGACTTCCTGTTTGCGTCACTTCCGCCCCGCACGCCCACCCACCCTTGGGGCAGCCATGTCAGTGAGGACCTGGGAGACGGGGCCCTGCGACGCCATGTTTGTGAGTGGCCAGGTCGTGTCTGGTGACTCAGCTTCAGTGGAACTCCACCCCGGGATTTTGTTTTTTTTTGAGACAGAGTCTCGCTGTGTTGCTCGGGCTGGAGTGCCGTGGCATCAGCCCAGCTCACAGCAGCGTCCAACTGCTGGGGTCAAGCGATCCTCCTGCCTCAGTCTCCCCAGTAGCTGGGACTATAGGCGCGCGCCACCACGCCCGGCTAATTTTGTTTAATATATATATATTTTTTTTAGTTGCCTGGCTAATTTCTATTTTTAGTAGAGACAGGGTCTCATTCTTGCTGAGGCTGGTCTTGAACTCCTAGTGCTCAAGGGATCCTCCCGCCTTGGCCTCCCAGAGTGCTAGGATTACAGGAGTGAGCCACCGCGCCAGTATTTTACGGGGTTTGTTTTATTAAGAGCTTCCCAGAGCCCCTAGACTTTGCTTTGTCTTCTCTCTCCCTCCACTCCCCCAGAGCTACATGAGCGTTTCTCAGGTCTGCCCACCCGCCTGCCCTTTTCCTGAAACAATGAATTAATGAGCGATCTGGGTGCTGGGCCTAGACTGAGCATTGCAGACACATCAGCCCCAAGACAGCCCTGCCAGGGCATCCACACTCAAACCCAGAAGTTCCTGCACTCAGCATGTGACATGGCAAGCCCCTAGCTGGATGCTCCCCCTAGCTGGATGCCAGCAAGACAGCAGGAGGGACCCAGTCTCCTTCTCAGAGCTTGTGGGTTATGGGGGAGAGGGGGCAGAGAAAGGAGCAAGGACAGGTACTGTGAGAGTGTAGGAAGTGCAGGGAAGGTGGAGTGTTCCGCTCCATGAACAAATTTTGATGACCCTTATATATGATTTTTTTATAATCCTCTACCATAACTAACTACTTGACTTTTTGAGTTGTTTCCTAGAACTGATGGATTTTCTGCAAGACAGGGGAGTTGAGATTCTGAAGGCCCTGGGGCAGACTTCCTGAGCCGAGACTCACCATCCCCCAAGGCACATGGCTTCTCCTTTGATGCAGCTTCTCCTGTTCTCCCAACAAGACAGCTTTCATATTAAAAATTCTCTTCTTCCTTCTAATCTCAGTAACTGGATGTTTGTGTGATGAGCAACTGGACCTAGACAGAAACCTCCTTTTGGTTTCCATAACAGTGGGGCAGGGAAGGCTTTTGTCTAAGCTGGGAACTAAGGGTTTAGCCAGGCAAAAAGTGAGGAGTGGTCTACATAGAGAACACATCAGCCAGTTTGAAGAACTGAAAGTATTTCACATGGTGGAGGATGCTGAGAGATGGGGATGGGGAACGAGGCAGAGACTGGAAGGTGAGGGCCATGCTGGTGCAGTAAGGAGTTTGGCTTCTGTTCTGGGGGATAATAGGGAGCCACAGAAAGTTTTACACAGGGAGTAACATGGTCAGATCAGAGATCATTCTGGCTGCTGGGTTCACAAGGGATAGGCAGAGGACAGGGAACCAACTAATTTTTCTATTTTTTGTAGAGATTGTTAACGGAAAAAAATCCAAACTCTGTAAAATAATTTTAAAGAGATTTATTCTGAGCCAAATTTGAGGACCATGACCCGGAGCCACTGCCAAGAGGCCTTGGGCAAGTGGACTCGCTGTGGCTGGGTTACAGTTTGGTTTTTATACATTTTAGAGACAAGGGTTATGGGTAAAGCCATCAATCAATGTGTGGGAGGTATACATTGGTTTGGCCCAAAAAGGAGGGCCATCTCGAAGCGGGGGGCTTACAGGTTATAGGTGGGTTTAAAGATTCTTTAGATTGTAATTGGCTAAAGACATGAAGCTTTGTCTAAAGAGGTGGAATGTTTTAACATAAACTGTTTACCAGAGGTAAGCCACCATTTGTTGCAAATAGAAGGCCTGCAGGTTTGTCATGCATACCCTCAGGCCTATTAATGGGTTACAAAGGAAGTCTCCAAGAAGGGAGGGGGGCATGATAAGGCCTGTCTGACCTCCCTCCTTCTGGCAGGCAACTTTGCCCTTGCATATTCCTCTGGCCACGAGGGGGTCCATTCAGTCAGCCGGTAGGGGTTGAGGATTTTAGTTCACAAGATGAAGTCTCAACTATCTTGGCCAGACTGGTCTTGAACTCCTGCCCTCAAATGATCCTCCCAACCTCCTAGAGTGCTGATATTACAGGCAGGAGCCACCACTTGGGTGACTTTTATTCATTCTTTAGGACACTGCTGAGATATGGAGGAGGAGATCTTTCCCCTTCTACAGGCCTCGTGCTTTCTGCATCACAGCCCGACTTCCCTGGACATGAGCTGCCTGCTCGTGGCTCTGTCCCTGACCAGGCTGAGAACTCTGTGTGGGCAGGGACCATGTCTGTCCCATTCCTTGCTGTGCTTCCAGCATGCAGCACTGGGGCTGACACAGAGCCAGGGTTCATTAAATGTTTGTTGACAGATTGGCTGACGGATGAACTCAACCAATTTGGGCAAAGCCTGGGCCAAGGTTACCTGGACCACTATAACAGAGGTAAAGGTCAGAAAAAGGGCAATGAAATGTTTTACAAGTTGTCTCTTTATCCACCCCTCCCTCTACTTGGGGAATTAAAACCTGCATTCCTTCCCAAAGCCACTAATCAAAGGGGCAGAAAAATGTTCTTTGCTGTTTGTTTCCTAGTATCTTAAACCACAAGAGATGGCTCAATGGAATTGTCACAAGATCTTAGGTCTGTGGGATCAAGGTCTGTGGAAACCACCAACTATAGTTAAACAACAATAGCCCAAAGCCATGACATGTGACACTGGTCACAGAGACCTGAACCCAACCTCCACTGCAATCCCCCCTTTAAAAAGCCCCGTTTTTCTGCTTTAAAACAGGATGGTGGTTCTGCTGAGACGATAGTCTGCTGCCCTCATTTGCTGGTAAATTAATAAACTTCTCTTTCCTTTTCCTCAAATGACTTGTCCTCCTTCTTGGTGCTCACTTATTCGGCCTTGGGGACAAATACCAAACTTTCGGTAACACCACTACGACCTCCTCCTCACTGGTTCCCTGCCCTCTGCCTATCCTTTGTGAATCCAGCAGCCAGAGTGAGCTCTGATCTGACCATGCGACTAGCCAGGCACCACACACACAAAGATCAAGTTGTCTGCTGCCTACAAGTCATTGCTGGTTCCTCAGAAGCCAAAGAGAAAGGAAACTCAGTGCAAAACTGAGCAGAGCTGTAAACCTGACAGAAGTCTGCACACAACTCTTGGGACTCTGTGAGGGAGACAGAAGACCCCACAAAGTGAGTGTGCATCTGTGGCAGCTTTTTGTGTGTTCCTCAGGGGCCCTCAAGGCCACCGGAAGTCCCCTTTAGATTTCTACGTATTTCTACGCGCATCAGCATGGCAAAAGGAAGGAGGAGCAGAAGTGGAAGGAAATAGAAGGAAAAGCCTTACTGCAGCCAATTTGGGGAGATTTTAAGCTTTTAAAACGTCAATAAAGGCCGGGCGCGGTGGCTCACGCCTGTAATCCTAGCACTCTGGGAGGCTGAGGCGGGCGGATTGCTCCAAGTCAGGAGCAGCCTGAGCAAGAGCGAGACCCCGTCTCTACTATAAATAGAAAGAAATTAATTGGCCAACTAATACATATATAGAAAAAATTAGCCAGGCATGGTGGCGCATGCCTGTAGTCCCAGCTACTTGGGAGGCTGAGGCAGGAGGATCGCTTGAGCCCAGGAGTTTGAGGTTGCTGTGAGCTAGGCTGACGCCACAGCACTCACTCTAGCCTGGGCAACAGAGTGAGACTCTGTCTCAAAAAAATAAAAGTCAATAAAGTTTTACATTTTTCTCAGCAAAAATCATGCCAACAAGATGGGAAGCAAGCAGAGGGACCATACATTTTTTTTTAAAAAAGGGGTTTCACCAAAGAACAGTATCATATGTTTAACTGTGGATTCTCCTAACATCACGACTGCCTTCAAGCGTGACAAAATGTAGGCAGTTGTGTCTTCTGTTGGGAGGAATCTGCAGCCAGGCACACCCCTAGCCAAGGCGGAACGGCTGAAGCTGGCAACAGAATGCCTTCCGTTAGATAAATATTTGCAATGGAACATGAGACCTATTAAATATAAATCTCACCTTAGGTCAAATGAGTTGGATTTTGTTATATCTGAAAAACACTGGTCCCTATGAGAAGGTTCTGAAGCCTGATCCCAGAAGAAAGTGGTTGTCTGGAGATATCCCAGTGTTCTCAAGAGTCTGTCCATAGGTCACAGAAGGCAAAGACTTTGTGTTCATTTTCAGAAGGCTCTCTGCATGTACATACACAGAAAAGGAGGCTTGTATGAGAAAATTTGATAGCTTAAAAAGTAAATGGATTGAAAATACAAAAGAATAAAATTATAAAATAAAAAGGGGTTTCAATTGATTGAAAAAAAGTCCCAGAAACAGGATCCAAAAGAGAAAAACCAGAAAAGCTTTTAAAAATATATACAGAGAGCTTAAATATCAGCTTTTAATTAGGCTGGCTTCTGACCATAGAGCTCCTTTTTATTTATTTTTGAGATAGGGTCTTGGTCTGTCACCTGAGGCTAGAGTTCGGTGCATAGCTCTGTGAACTAAAATCCTCAACCCCTACCGGCTGACTGAATGGACCCCCTCGTGGCCAGAGGAATATGCAAGGGGAAGCTTGCCTGCCAGGAGGAGGGAGGTCAGACAGGCCTTATCATGCCCCCTCCCTTTGGAGACTTCCTTTGTAACCCATTAATAGCCTAGGGTATGCAGACAACCTGCAGGCTTCTATTTGCAACAAATGGTGGCTTATCCTCTGGTAAACAGTTTATGTTAAAACATTCCACCTCTTTAGACAAAGCTTCATGTCTTTGCCAATTACACATCTAAAGAATCTTTAAACCCACCTATAACCTGTAAGCCCCCGCTTCGAGATGGCCTCCTTTTTGGCCAACCAATGTATACTCCCACACATTGATTGATGGCTTACCCATAACCCTTGTCTCTAAAATGTATAAACCAAACTAACCCAGCCACAGCAAGTCCACTTGCCCAAGGCTCTGGCAGTGGCTCCGGGTCTGGTCCTCATTTGGCTCAGAATAAATCTCTTTAAAATTATTTTACAGAGTTTGGATTTTTTTCCGTTAACAGCTCACAGCAACCTCAAACTCCTGGGCTCAAGCGAGCTTCCTGCTTCAGCCTCCTGAGTAGCTGGGACTACAGGCGAGAGTCACCGCGCCCTGCCAGAGCTCCTTTTTCAACAAATCCTTTTGTTACCAAAAGCTCAGCCACTTGTCCCTCAGGCTGCATCAGAAGAACAAGAACAAGTGGTTTGAGGAGAAGGTAAAAGAAGTTTTATTACTTTGCCAGCAAAGGAGGAGGATGGAGACTCCTGTCTGAAATGCCGTGTCCTACTAACCAGCAGAAATACAGAGCTTCTGAAGCATGGGCTCTCAGCTTCCGGCAATTGCTGTTCAACTACAGTTGATGATTCTAATCATCCATCTCTGCTGAAGACAATCTCATGACCTCTGCTCAGGACCTCCCTTTACCAGGTTGGCTGGGCCATCTCCTGTTGCACAGATAACAAAAGACTTACCCTCCCTCCCCCAGCCACCGGCCTAGGAGAGGGATACAGACTTTAGTTCTCAGAAAGGGATGGAGGGTGTTTTAGATAGAAAATATTTTTGCTGTTTTCTTTTCCTAGGCTATTCTCTCTGTTACATACCTCTACTGTCAAAATTTCTCTTCTAGGCCGGGCACGGTGACTCACACCTGTAATCCTAGCACTCCGGGAGGCCAAGGCAGGCGGATCACTCGAGGTCAGGAGTTCGAAACCAGCCTGAGCAAGAGCGAGACCCCATCTCTACTAAAAAGAATAGAGGCCGGGCGTGGTGGCTCACACCTGTAATCCTAGCACTCTGGGAGGCTGAGGCAGGCGATTGCTTGAGGTTAGAAGTTCGAAACCAGCCTGAGCGAGACCCTGTCTCTACTAAACATAGAAATTAATTGACCAACTAAAATATATACATAGAAAAATTAGCTGGGCATGGTGGCGCATGCCTGTAGTCCCAGCTGCTTGGGAGGCTGAGGCAGCAGGATTGCTTGAGCC